CAACATATCCCTCCAAACTGCCAATATCCCAAACCCCTCCTTTAAAGTGCAGGCATTGTACTTCCCATTTCCAGGACTCAAGTCCGACTATATGAAAATAACCGGTTTCCCTGAATCCCTTCACTAAATATTACCCTGCTCACACTCCACCAGATCGTCAGGTCCCAAGTATCATTAGTCTCCATTCACTCCTATCTAACACACTCGTGCACGCTTGCTGGAAGTCCAAGCCCCTCGCCCACAAAACCTCCTTTACCCCCTCTTTCCAACCCTTTCGAGGATGACCCCTACCCCTCTTTCCTTCCCCTATAGATTTATATGCTTTCCATGTCATTCTACTTTGATCCATTCTCTCTAAATGACCAAACCACCTGAACAACCCCTCTTCTGCCCTCTGACTAATGCTTTTATTAACTCCACACCTTCTCCTAATTTCCACACTCCGAATTTTCTGCATAATATTTACACCACACATTGCCCTTAGACAGGACATCTCCACTGCCTCCAACCGTCTCCTCGCTGCTGCATTTACCACCCAAGCTTCACATCCATATAAGAGTGTTGGTACTACTATACTTTCATACATTCCCTTCTTTGCCTCCATAGATAAAGTTTTTTGACTCCACATATACCTCAACGCACCACTCACCTTTTTTCCCTCATCAATTCTATGATTAACCTCATCCTTCATAAATCCATCCGCCGACACGTCAACTCCCAAGTATCTGAAAACATTCACTTCTTCCATACTCCTCCCCAATTTGATATCCAATTTTTCTTTATCTAAATCATTTGATACCCTCATCACCTTACTCTTTTTGATGTTCACTTTCAACTTTCTACCTTTACACACATTCTCAAACTCATCCACTAACCTTTGCAATTTTTCTTTATAATCTCCCATAAGCACAGTATCATCAGCAAAAAGTAACTGTGTCAATTCCCATTTTGAATTTGATTCCCCATAATTTAATCCCACCCCTCTCCCGAACACCCTAGCATTTACTTCTTTTACAACCCCATCTATAAATATATTAAACAATTATGGTGACATTACACATCCCTGTCTAAGACCTACTTTTACTGGGAAGTATTCTCCCTCTCTTCTACACACCCTAACCTGAGCCTCACTATCCTCATAAAAGCTCTTTACAGCATTTAGTAACTTACCACCTATTCCATATACTTGCAACATCTGCCACATTGCTCCTCTATCCACTCTATCATATGCCTTTTCTAAATCCATAAATGCAATAAAAACTTCCCTACCTTTATCTAAATACTGTTCACATATATGCTTCAATGTAAACACTTGATCTACACATCCCCTATCCACTCTGAAGCCTCCTTGCTCATCCACAATTCTACATTCTGTCTTACCTCTAATTCTTTCAATTATAACCCTACCGTATACTTTTCCTGGTATACTCAGTAAACTTATTCCTCTATAATTTTTACAATCTCTTTTGTCCCCTTTCCCTTTATATAAAGGGACTATACATGTTCTCCGCCAATCCCTAGGTACCTTCCCCTCTTTCATACATTTATTAAACAAAAGTACCAACCACTCCAACACTATATCCCCCCCTGCTTTTAACATTTCTGTCATGATCCCATCAGTTCCAGCTGCTTTACCCCCTTTCATTCTACGTAATGCCTCACGTACCTCCACCACACTTACATTCTGCTCTTCTTCACTCCTAAAAGATGGTATACCTCCCTGGCCAGTGCATGAAATTACCGCCTCCCTTTCTTCCTCAACATTTAAAAGTTCCTCAAAATATTCTCGCCATCTACCTAATACCTCCCTCTCCCCATCTACTAACTCCCCTACTCTGTTTTTAACTGACAAATCCATACTTTCCCTAGGCTTTCTTAACTTGTTTAACTCACTCCAAAATTTTTTCTTATTTTCATTAAAATTTCTTGACAGTGCCTCTCCCACTCTTTCATCTGCTCTCCTTTTTCATTCACTCTAAAAATGGTGTGTTGCTGTTTGTTTATTCTGAACTAACTTGTACAACTTGTACACAATATAAGAGTATTTGTATTGTGAGGTAATTATTATTAAAATAAAAAAACATCGAGGTAAATGTTTTACAAACTCTTACAAATGGACGTGAATGAACTAAAAGTAGACACACATTAATACGCATTTATTTCACCTAACCAAGTGATCGTCCACTACCTGTTCAGTTTGTGTTCTTACATTGTCTCAACTCTGTATCTCGTTCTCTCTCTCATTTACTCTTTCGTTAACTAGTTGGCTCTCATTGACGATGGCATCTAAGGTTAGCTGTAATAAAAAGAGAAGTCGTAAGCCTCTTGCTTTAAGTGCCAAGTTAGAGGATGATTGTGTGCCATTCTGATTTTATTCAATGAACCCCCTGCCACTCACCTCTCACACATTAATATTAATATTTTAAGGTAAGTAGTAAGTGTACTCTGTGTGTATCTTACCTTTTATTGTGTTTTAATGCCTATTTCTATTGCTAACTTAATATAAGTAAGTGTAAACTTGTTGTCTGGCATTTATTGAATAGTTTATGTGTGCTCTGATAATAATACTTGTGGAGCTGTGTGGTACCCGGGTGGAGGGACAACATATGTTTTCTCTGTTCAGCCATCAGAGAAAACGTGTACGAATCTGCGTTTGGCCCAGCCACTCCCTCACTCCTCTTTTGTTTACAATTTTCAGCATGAATTATTCATTACTTCTACCTTCGTTTATGATGGCATCTAAAGGTAGTTGTTAGAAATGATTAAATGCAGTGAACAAGGCATGTCGATGTTAATATGGCTCTGGGCCACAGTGTAGGTAGCCGGTAGGTGTAGCCCGCCTGGGCTACACCTACCGGCTACCTACACTGACTTTATACAAATAAATACTACTACTCACCTCTCTTCCTATATTAAGACTACACATATTTTAAGGTAAATAATGAGTGTATTGTATGTGTATTTTACCTCTCTGGGATGTTTTAAATATTGTATATGAGAGGGGGAGCCAGTGCTACCTACACCTGGGCTACCTGCACCTGACTTCCTACAAATAAGTACTACTCACCTCTCTCCCTACATTAAGATTACAAATACTTTAAGATAAGTAATGAATTTACTGTGACTGTATTTTACTTTGTGTGTTTTTAATGCCTAGTTCTATTACTAACTTAATATAATTTAGTGTAAACTTGTTGTCTGGCATTTACATATATGCATTTATAAATGGAAAAAAATGGAGTTCTGCCTTCCGGCGATGTCTGCTTTCCGGCGACAGCCTGGAACCTAACCCACCGTATAAGTGGGGCCCTACTGTATATGTTTACAGGAGAAGGGGTTACTAGCCCATTGCTCCCGGCATTTTAGTCGCCTCATACGACACGCACGGCTTACGGAGGAAAGATTCTTTTCCACTTCCCCATGGACAATAGAAGAAATAAAGAAGAACAAGAGCTATTTAGAAAAAGGAGAAAAACCTAGATGTATGTACATGTATATACATGTGCATGTGCGTGTCTGTGAAGTGTGACTAAAGTGTAAGTCGGAGTAGCAAGATATCCCTATTATCTAGTGTGTTTATGAGACAGAAGAAGACACCAGCAATCCTACCATCATGTAAAACAGTTACAGGTTTCTGTTTCACAGTCATCTGGCAGGACGGTAGTACTTCCCTGGGTGGTTGCTGTCTACCAACCTACTACCTACCTGTAAGGTGTTTGTATGAATGTTTATGAAACGTAACAGTGGGTGGGGTTGCTAGGCTGGCTTCCCTACACTACCCTACCTACCACACGACTTTCTACAAATAAATACTTTTCACCTTTCACCCTACATTAAGACTACAAATATTTTAAGGTAAGTAATAAGTGTACTGTACATGCATTTTATCACTCTATGGAGCTTTAAGCATCGTCGTAGTATATTATGTGTGGGTGGGGGTGGCCAGGAAGGCTACCACACCTAACTTCTTACAGTAAATACTACTCACCTTTTGCCCTACATTAAGACTACGAATATTTTGAGGTAAATGATGAGTGTACTGTGTGTGTATTTTACTTTTCATTGTTTTTTAATGCCTAGTTCTATTGCTAATTTAATATATGTTAGTGTAAACTTGTTATCTGGCATTTATATGCATTTGTAAGTGGAAAAAAATGGTGTTCTGCTTTCCAGCGATGTCTGCTTTCCGGCAGTAGTCTGGAACCTAACCTGCCGTACAAGTGGGGCCCTACTGTAGTTGAAACAGTTGACTGGGTCATTTCTTGTGCTCATTCGATAAAATAGAAGTAGTATTAGCAAAACGGCTAAGAATTTGGTCGACTGGAATAATGTAATTGGCCTAAAATGGGAGTCAAAGTCAGCAAAATCGCCGATGCGTAATTATCGCTGATGCATCAAAATTCGCGAGTGTAGTTTCGTCAATTTTCCATCAAATTTCATACTTTTTGTTTTATTACTTTCAGAAAAAGATTCTCTACCATTTCATAAGAAAAAAATAAAGAAAATTTTTTGAAAATTCTTGGACCCTGGCTGTCACTCTTGAGGGTCTCTGGACCGTCAAAGGGTTAATATTACATCTTTATGTTTGTTTACATTTCTCTCAACTGCGAATGGCACCGTGTACTATCTGTGAAAGTTCTGATAAATTTTAACTTTTATAATAGATTTGTTTATGGTAGTAAATGACAGACTAGTATCTACATATATTTTATGCATTCATGACATACCTAACATTTTCTTAATTTTTTCAATATTTCTAGGTTATGAGGTTCGTCTTGAGTTCTTTCAAATTGTCACAAATCTCCAAAAATTTTTCCAATATATCTATGGGAAAAAATCCGAGTATAAGTGGATCTGCACAGTTCAAACCCATGTTGTTTGAAGGTCAGCTGTACAATTTTACTGCCTTCAAAACTACCATAATTTAAAAAAAAAAAACTAACAAATTTAACTTTCAAGTGAACTGATCATTTTAAGACACTGATCTAAAATAAACTCACCAGACTGAAGTTGCTGTACTAGATTTGGCATAGCTTTTGGAATAAGCAGATGTGATATCAATGCCTTTATACATTCTTGTGAATCTTCTGCATACATATTTTCCAAAGCCCACTTCAAATCATTAGAAGTCTGAAAATTTTAATTTTATTAGGGATTTGGGATATTAACTGTTTGGAGTGACATACAAACTGTCATATCGAGTGACATACAAACTGTCATATCCACACGCCTCTGCAAAGACAGTGATTATGTGTGAATGATGGTGGAAGTGTTGAATGATGATGAAAGTTTTTTTTTTTTTGTGGGGGGGGGGGGGGGGGGTCACCATCTTGGTGGGAGACAACCAGTGTGCTGAAAAAAAAAATAATAGGAAACCATTTAACATTAATTTCTGCTACAAGCAAGGTGGTGGGAAATGGCAAAGAAGTAACCCTCTCTAAAGCAAGTGAGCCACCCTCCTGCCCCTCTCTTGAGAACTGACACTTTGAGCAAACTGAATAACTTCTTTGCTAAATGTGGTGTACGCTCATTTTGTTATGCTTTACTCAACATTCATCATACAACCACCGACATGTCCTCTCGACCAGCAAACTGGCAATTCAGAGTACAGCAGTTCTGGGACCCCACTGCTGTATTAACTGTCCAGTTCAATCCACCAATCAGGTGAAAGCTGGATTCCCAGCCAAGGTGACATCACACCTGCCTGCCTGGATGTGAAGCAATCACTCACTCTGGATAAATTCACTGCTCTTGTTTTGAGTGGATCTTTGCTCTGTCTTATCATTATACTGCTAACTTAATATCTTAACTGTGTAAATATTGAGACTCTCTGATCACAGGTTCTATCCCTGCCCGTGGTATGGTTTGTTTGGAATCATGTCATTACGATTTCGTGAGTCATGTTGACGGCTTTGAGGGGACTTGAGCTAGAGTTTGTCACAGCCACGCTAGCTGGAGATTCGTCTGTAAAAATCTGCATTTGTGGTCACAGTGGTGCCTAACCTTCCTATGGTGTAGAAATATACCTAGTTGGACGAATCTTACTGTGGCTAGCTGGTTCAGTGGCTAACGCGACGGTCTGGAGTTTTGAGACTCTCTGATCATGGGTTCTATCCCCGCCCGTGGTATGGTTTAAATATTGTACATATTGGTGAAGGAATATTTTTTCTTAACATGTTGACCATTTCCCACCGAGGCAGGGTGACCCAAAAAGAAAGAAAAAACTTTCATCCTCATTCAACATTTTGACCATCACTCATACATAATCACTGTCTTTGCAAAGGCACTCAGATATGAGAGTTTAGATGTCCCTCCAAAATGCCATATCCCAAATCCCTCCTTCCTATTTCCAGGACTCAAGTCTGGCTAACCAGTTTCCCTGAATCCCTTCACAAAATATTACCCTGCTCACACTCCAAAAGCTCATCAGGAATATATGGGTAAAAAAAAAAAAAAAAACCTACCCCTCTGTGTTTGCCTCGCCCTTGTTGTTTGCAATTTTGTTAAGTTTGGTTATGGCCAGGTGCAACAGGCCTTGAAATGTTTCCTGTGTTCAAAATACAAATAACAATCCCAAGGTTCAAGTTGACATAAGTAGCCATCTGACAGGCAATTATCCAATTTTTCCTACCTGGCCCTTACTATTCCTTTAGAAAAAGCATCAATAATAAATTCACTTAAAAATACAGATAGTAGCAAAATTGACACTTCTTTTTTTTTTAAATGCTGGCCATCTCCCACCTAGGCAGGATGACCCAAAAAAGAAACACTTTCACCATCATTCACACTATCACTGTCTGGCCAGAGGCACATAGATATGACAGTTTACAGGTCCTTCTAACCAGCAAATGAAATAGCAACAATAATCTTACAAAAAAAAAAAAGTTGCTGATACCAACATTGATCCATATTCAACTTTTGGCCAATAATGATACCATCAAAATTAGCTGATCTCCATCATGACATAACATGTACAGACCCTAATATGTCATTAAAAATATGATAAACATTACCAAAACAAGAGAAAACTATGAAAGGTTTAACTACTGTCCAAGAATTGAAGTGGTTACTATCCAAGACAAACCACAAAAATAAATATAAACAGAAAACTAAACTCACCAGGAGTGTCCTGTATATGCACAAAAACTAGACACATTTTTAATATCCATGAGGAGAGAATCTAATAACTTTAACATAATTACCCTCTTTAGATGTTTCCTATTGAATTCTGCCATTCTTGATTTAGGAATCACAAGCGTAGAGTACCGTTTCAGAAGCTTCAAGAACTTTTGCCAATTGTCTTGTGGTATCAGTGGTAATGAGTAACCTTCTGGCATCACCTGCATCATCTTCTTCCATTCATTCTCCCAATAATAGTTCTGCTCATTTAAAAACCCATTAAAAAATTATTATTAAATTATAAAATAAGTAAAATATAATAAATACTAACCTCTACAATGTGATCATAACTTCCATTCTCCTATATGTGGGTTATCTGTGTATAATATAACTGACTAGCAAAATCATGACATGACATGACTGTAAACATCTCATTTAACAGGTGGGTTTCAAACCCACAGCAAGCCAGCCCTAAAACTATCAGGTCAGTACACCAGCCACTATACCATACTGGCCTTATAAGATTTGCTCAAATAGGTACATTTCTATACACACTAGGTTCCTAGTTTGGGACAAATCTTTTTAGGTCGGCATAGTGATTTTCTCCATGATGGGTCTGTCCCAGTGGAACCGTTTTGGATAACGTTTTTTTGTCTCCACAAATGAGAGAGTGGGTGAGATGTTATCAACAAATTTTGTTGAAAATAAGAAAAAGTTTTGGAGTGAGATTAACAAGTTAAGGAAGCCTAGAGAACAAATGGATTTGTCAGTTAAAAATAGGAGAGGAGAGTTATTAAATGGAGAGTTAGAGGTATTGGGAAGATGGAGGGAATATTTTGAGGAATTGTTAAATGTTGATGAAGATAGGGAAGCTGTGATTTCGTGTATAGGGCAAGGAGGAATAACATCTTGTAGGAGTGAGGAAGAGCCAGTTGTGAGTGTGGGGGAAGTTCGTGAGGCAGTAGGTAAAATAAAAGGGGGTAAGGCAGCCGGGATTGATGGGATGAAGATAGAAATGTTAAAAGCAGGTGGGGATACAGTTTTGGAGTGGTTGGTGCAATTATTTAATAAATGTATGGAAGAGGGCAAAGTACCTAGGGATTGGCAGAGAGCATGCATAGTTCCTTTGTATAAAGGCAAAGGGGCCAAAAGAGAGTGCAAAAATTATAGGGGGATAAGTCTGTTGAGTATACCTGGTAAAGTGTATGGTAGAGTTATTATTGAAAGAATTAAGAGTTAAGACGGAGAATAGGATAGCAGATGAACAAGGAGGCTTTAGGAAAGGTAGGGGGTGTGTGGACCAGGTGTTTACAGTGAAACATATAAGTGAACAGTATTTAGATAAGGCTAAAGAGGTCTTTGTGGCATTTATGGATTTGGAAAAGGCGTATGACAGGGTGGATAGGGGGGCAATGTGGCAGATGTTGCAGGTGTATGGTGTAGGAGGTAGGTTACTGAAAGCAGTGAAGAGTTTTTACGAGGATAGTGAGGCTCAAGTTAGAGTACATAGGAAAGAGGGAAATTATTTCCCAGTAAAAGTAGGCATTAGATAAGGATGTGTGATGTCACCGTGGTTGTTTAACCCTTTGACTGTCGCGGCCGTATATATATGTTTTACGAGGTGCCGTGTTTGACGTATATATACTCATAAATTCTAGCTGCTTCAAATCAAGCAGGAGAAAGCTGGTAGGCCCACATGTGAGAGAATGCGTCTGTGTGGTCAGTGTGCACCATATAAAAAAAATCCTGGAGCAAGCAGTGCATAATGAGAAAAAAAAAACTCCGACCGTTTTTTTTAATTAAAATGCCGACTTTGTGGTCTATTTTCGTATAGTATTTATGGTTGTATTCTCGTTTTCTTGGTCTCATTTGATAGAATGAAAACATATTACAGAAATAGTGGTGTTTTTGATTGATTTTACTATAAAAAGAACCTAGAAATGGAGCTCAAAGTAGGGGAAATGTTTGATTTTTGCCAATGTTCAAAAGTAAACAAATGATGCCATTGTCCAATAAATGTCCAACTAGCCATTCTAATATGCAGTCATGAATGGGTTGATGTTATTTATACAGTTATTACAGCATTGCGGTAGTCTGCATAATAGTAAGTCTAATATTTTTTGTTTGAATAAAAATTCAAAATAGAAAGCAAGAGTAATATCAGAGGGGCCTGGAGACGTGACTGATGAACAAAGAAAACGTTATTTTAGAGCCTGGAATGTCTGCATTGTTCATTCTGGACCTTATTTTGAAATTGTCATATTTTTTAGTTTTCGTGAAATTGGCCAAATTGCAAATTTCTGACCACATTATTAGGTAGTTGAAATCAGTAAATGGAAAGTTTCTTGTACTCAATCGATAGAAAAAATGAAGTTCTAAAGAAATAGCTATGAGTTTGGGTGACTGGAACAATGGAATTAGCCGAAAAATAGGGCTCAAAGTGGGCGAAATCGCCGATTTGTAAACAGCGCCGAGGTCGCTAACTTCGTGAGAGCATAATTCCGTCAGTTTTCCATCAAATTTCGTTTTTTTTGGTGTCATTACAATCGGGAAAAGATTCTCTATCATTTCATAAGAAAAAATAATTTTTTTTTTTTTTAAATTTGCGACACCAGGAGCCCCCTCAGGATTGGGGGTTGCGACAGTCAAAGGGGGAATATATTTATAGTGGGGTTGTAAGAGAATAAATGCGAGGGTCTGACAAGGGCGTGGAGTTAAAAATAAAGTACACAATAAAGTGGGAGTTTCACAGTTGCTCTTTCTGAGACACTGTGCTCTTGGGAGATTCTGAAGAGAAGTTGCAGAGTTTGGGGTGGATGAATTGGTAGGGTGTGCAAAAGAAAAAAAATTAAAAGTGAATACAGGAAAGAGAAAGGGTTTTATGAGGATAACAAAAATATTAGGTGATGAAAGATTGGATATCAGATTGGAGGGAGAGAGTATGGAGGAGGTGAATGTATTCAATATTTGGGAGTGAACGTGTCAGCGGATGGGTCTATGAAGGATGAGGTGAATCATAGAACTGATGAGGGGAAAAGGGTGAGTGGTGCACTTACGAGTCTGGGGAGACAAAGAACTTTGCCCTTTGGAGGCAAAGGGGGAATGTATGAGAGTATAGTTTTACCAACCTCTTATATGGGTGTGAAGCATGGGTGAATGAATGTTGCAGGAGGGAGAAGGCTGGAGGCAGTGGAGATGTCATGTCTGAGGGCAATGTTTTGGTGTGAATATAATGCAGAGAATTCGTAGTTTGGAAGTTAGGAGGAGGTGCGGGATTACCAAAACTGTTGTCCAGAGGGCTGAGGAAGGGTTGTTGAGGTGGTTCGGACATGTAGAGAGAATGGAGCGAAACAGAATGACTTCAAGAGTGTATCAGTCTATAGTGGAAGGAAGGCGGGTAGTGGTCGGCCTGGGAAAAGGGTTTTGGAGGGAGGGGGTAAAGGAGGTTTTGTGTGCGAGGGGCTTGGACTTCCAGCAGGCGTGCGTGAGCGTGTTTGATAGGAGTGAATGGAGACGAATGGTTTTTAATACTGTTGGAGTGTGAGCAAAGTAACATTTATGAAGGGGTTCAGGGAAACCGGCAGGCCGGACTTGAGTCCTGGAGATGGGAAGTACAGTGCCTGCACTCAGAAGGAGGGGTGTTAATGTTGCAGTTTAAAAACTGTAGTGTAAAGCACCCTTCTGGCAAGACAGTGATGGAGTGAATGATGGTGAAAGTTCTTCTTTTTCGGGCCACCCTGCCTTGGTGGGAATCGGCCAGTGTGATAATAATAAAAAGATACCTCAATGCACCATTCACCTTTTTTCCTTCATCAATTCTATGGTTAACCTCATCCTTCATAAACCCATCTGCTGACAAGTCAACTTCCAAATATCTGAAAACATTCAATTCTTCCATACTCCCTTTCTCCACTGTGATATCAATTTTTCTTTATCTAAATCGTTTGATACCATCAACACTTTACTTTTATCTATGTTCACTTTCAACTTTCTACCTTTACACACACTCCCAAACTCATCCACTAACCTTATCAAAATTTCTTTAGAATCTCCCATAAGCACAGTATCATCAGCAAAAAGTAACGTGACAACTCCATTTTGTATTTGATTCCCCATAATTTAATCCCACCCCTCTCCCCAACACCCTAGCATTTACTTCTTTTACAACCCCATCTATAAATATAAAAAACAACTATGGTGACATTACACATCCCTGTCTAAGACCTACTTTTACTGGGAAGTAATCTCCCTTTCTCCTATACACCCTAACCTGAGTCTCGCTATCCTCATAAAAACTCTTTACAGCATTTAGTAACTTACTATCTATTCTATATCCAATGGACCCTCAGTTAACGATATTAATCCATTCCACAGAGCTTGTCCTTAACAGATTTTATCGTTTTCCGAATTAATTTTCCCCATAAGAAATACATGTAATGGAAATCCAATTAATCTGTTTCAGACATCCAAAAGTATTAAACAAAATAATTTTTTACATAAAATATACATTTCCCTACATGGAAAACAATGATACATGAAGAATAAAACAATAATAACATCGCACTTACCTTTAGTGAAGACATGGTGATGTATGGAAGACAGGAGGAGGGGAGAGGCTGGAGGAGTTTACAACTGTTTGGAAGGGGAATCCCACTCCATAAAGACTTCAGGTACCAAGTCTTTATCCTGGGTTACTTCCCTCTTTTGTTTTTTAATGCCACTAGGACCAGCTTGAGAGCCACTGGACCCCTGTTAATCAAAAAAGTTTTCCAGAGAAGTCTGTTTCAGGCGTATGTTAGGAACTGTGTTGGGAGACAAGATAGTCCTTCAATGACACTAATATCAGCTCTACGACTTATTTATCTAGCACAATTCATCTAATATGACATAATAAGCAATATTAATAACATAGAAACATGACATATACTCTAAAATGAGTAAAATACGTCATTATGTCACGAGTGTTGCTGTGTTGTTGTTGCTGGGTGTATAAAGGCCACTGAGAGCATAAGCTGTACATGGTGGTGAAGGCCAGCAAAGATGGTAGAGACTAGAAATGGCAGTGTTGTCGGTCGCCCTACATAACTCCAACAACACTGGAGGAGTTAGGTTCATGTTGTCCTTTTTCTATCGATTAATCGCTTAACTTACTTGCTATAGTTAATGGTACACTTTATCACTGGCTGCCACTATAGCCTTTATAGACTCCTGCTGTTTTAGGATCGTACATATTGCAGAATCACTGAAAAAGGCACATTCTCCCCTCTCTCTCAGCCCTTTACCAAAGGGCTGGCTGGCACTAGAAGCTTTCTTTGGGCCCACGGTGGCTTATTTAGAAGTTACAAGCACTAAAAACAATGGAATAATACAAAATGTATCACATGTATGAGTGGAATCGTCTGCAGTGGCTTGTAAACAATGGCACACTAGCCACACTGGAGTGGCTGGGTGGCTCAGGCCGCATGGACACGTTCTGGACCAATGTCCTTAACTGAGTTTTTTATCATTAGCCGAGCCAATATTTTGACGCAAAAACATATCGGCATCCAATTTTATCGCTATCCGATGGCATTGTTAACTGAGGGTCCACTGTACCTGCAACATCTGCCACATTGCTCCCCCATCCACTCTATCATATGCCTTTTCTAAATCCATAAATGCAATGAAAAGTTTCCTATCTTTATCTAAATATGAACTGTTCACATATATGTTAAATAAAAATATTGTTCCACACACCCACTACCCTCCAAAGCCCCTTGCCATCTGCAACCCTCCTCTTCCCCCTCAAACCCTTTAAAAATAACCCTACAAACATTTTAAAATGGTATATCAAAAAATTTATTCCCAAAAATTTGTTCAACTCTTTTGTTCCCCCTTCCTTTTTTTACATAAAGGAATTACATCTCTTCCCAACCCCCAGGACCTTCCCCCTTTCTCATTTTTAGCAAAAATCCAATCATAAAACACAATATCCTCCCCGTTTTAACTTTTTCTGTCTGTCCGTCAGTTCCAGCTGCTTTACCAATTTCTTTATGTAATGCCTGCGCACCCCAACCTCACACCCTTCTCTTTTTCACCCTAAAAGATGTTAACCTCCCGACCTTTGCATAAAAATTCTGCTTCCCTTTCTTCATTGACTTTTAAAAAAGTCCTCAAAATATTCCCGCCATTACCAAAATACAGGGACCCCCGGTTTTTACATATTTTTTCATTCCAAAAAGAGTTCAGGGCCATTATTAACGAATTTTTCCCCATAAGGATATTGTGAATTAGATTAGCCTTTTGGGGTTTTGGAGGGATATGTTGTGTATTTTTTAACTTAAAACTTCAAACTGTTGTATTCTGAGCACCTCTGCAAAAACAGGAAATTTTGGAGTGTGGTGAAAGTGTTAAGGGATGATGAAGTTTTTTTTTTTTGGGTTTTTTTTTTTCCTTTTTTGGGTCCCCCCTGCCCGGTGGGGACGGTCGACTTGTTAAAAAAAATTTAGCCATTTCAGACCCCGAAAAACTGTACAAAGCACTTCATAAATACTATTTTTATTTTTATTTTTTTTATTATCACACGGGCCCCGATTCCCACCAAGGCGGGGTCCCCGGGAAAAGAAAAAACTTCACCTCATTCACCCCTCCTGTCTTGCCAAAAGGGGTGCTTTATACTAAGTTTTAACTGCAACATTAACACCCTCCTTAAAGGTGCAGGACTGTATTCCAATCTCCGGGACTAAGCCGGGCCTCCCGGGTTTCCCCTAAACCCCCCTTCTAATTTTTCTTTGCCACACTCAACGCCTCAATTTTTAAAAACCTTTTGTCCCATTCACCCCTATCAAACACGCTCAGCAGCCTCTGGAAGCCAAGCCCCTGAAACCAAAACCTCCTTTACCCCCTTCCCAAACCTTTCCTAGGCCCCCCCTACCCCCCCTTTCCTTCCCTAAGACTGATACACTCTTGAAGTCATTCTGTTTGCCCTTCCCTACATGTCCGAACCACCTCAAAAACCCTTCCTCACCCCTCGGGGACAACTTTTGGGGAACCCCGCACCTCCTCCTAACTTCCAAACACGAATTTCTGCATTTTTTTCACACCACACATTGCTCCAGACATGACATCTCCACCCCCCTCCACCCTTTCCCCTCGCTGAAAACATTCATCCCCATGTTTCACCCCAATAAGAGGTTGGTAAAACTATACCCCAAACTTTCCCCTCTTTGCCTCCAAGGACAAATTTCTTTGTCCCCACAACTCCAAAGTGCCCCACTCACTCTTTTCCCCATAAATTCTATGATTACCTCATTTTCATGCCCCATCGCTGACCGTCCACTCCCAATATCGAATACATTCCCTCCTCCATACTCTCTCCCCCCAATTGATTTTAAATTCTTTCATCACCTAATTTTTTTGTTATCCTATAACCCTTATCTTTTCCTGTTTTCACCTTTAATTTTCTTCTTTTGCACCCCCTACCAAATTCATCCACCATTCTGCAACTTCTTTCAAATCCCCCAAGAGCCGTGTCACAGCAAAGAGCAGCTTGAAACTCCCACTTTGTGGTGTTTCTTTATCTTTTAACTACACGCTTTCCCAAGCCCCGCTTTTATTTCTCTTACAACCCCATTTAAAAATATATTAAAAAACCACGGTAAACCCACACACCTTGTCAAAGGGCCAACTTTTCGGGAAATAATTTCCCTTTCCTAATACCAAAACTTGAGCCTCCTTCCTCGTAAAAACTCTTCACTGCTTTCAGTAACTACCCCTCCCATACATTTGCAACATCTGCCACATGCCCCCTATCCACCCGTCAACCCCTTTTCCAAATCCATAAATCACTTACTAATTGGTCCATGGGAGCTGACGTAAACCGGGGGTCCTGTACCTTCAGCCCCCCTTTACTAACCCCCCTACTCCCTTTTAACTGAAAATCCCTCGTTCCCTGGGGTTTTTTTTAACTTTTTTATCTAAATAAATGATAACCCAAGGGGGACAGCATTCTCCCAAAACAATACAACATAATGAAAAAACAATACTGTACGTATTTCAAGATGAATAGAGTAATTTAATTGGTCAAAACCTTCATCTAATAATCGCAAAAATAATTTTTGTACAAATTACCTTTATCCAGTCAATGAAGTCCAAGGGCTTTTAAGGTTTTGTCCACCTGCCCAACCCCCCGTACCAGTTGATCTCTTTCGAAGATCAAACCAGATGCTGGGGTCCAATATCTCTTTTCAAATCATGCATGGTCTGCTTCTGATAGTATTTTGTCTGTGGCAGCAACAATACGCTCACAAACCTGAAAGGAAAACGTGTACAGATTAATCAAAAAATTACAGCCAAATTTATGTTTATGCCCTAATCCCGTTAATTTTATAGATATCCAAAAGTCAGTAATTTTAAATGTACATTACAACAATAACTTTCCTCTGTACTGCGTACTAGAAAATAGATTTGACAGAGTTTTAACTGTTGGGGCTGATCTAACCCTTAGCTTCCATAAGGGGGAATGTTTCTCAAAACCCAAAGGGAATTTTTTAACTGAAAAAAAAACAAATGAATAAATCTGTAAATTTTTTTACAGAAAGGTTTTTTCTAATTTTTGTCAGGTACATAAATATGAAAATGAAGATTATAAGTGCTATTTTTTCACTTATCAGTAAAGAATAATACAATTTCATCATGCAATTTTGTTTTGTGGAAGTCATATTTTTGACTTTATTTGAGTCCCACTTGTATAGTATTCCTACAGCAAAATACCTTGCCATATGCAAGTGTTGCATTTTTCACGCTTACTGAAGATTTTTATTGGAAAAATTTTTAAAAGCGCCTAAAACCTTTTTTTATCTACATAAAAAAAGGAAAACCCATAATAATGATTATGCATTTTACAGCATTTAAATTTTAACGAAACCACTGTAGAAAAAAAAGTCATGAAAATATTTGGGAAAACCCATATTTTAAATTTAATGATAAAAATAATTATTTCCCGTACCCAAAAAATATGCAATGTTCAAAAATTTTCAGGTATGATATAAGTGTAAACTTTAAACCCCTTCACTGTCGGTTCGATATTACGGCTTGCAAATCCGCGTCGGGCTCATAATTGGCTAAAATTTTAGCGGCTTTAAAACTTGGGGAGAAAGCTGGTAGGCCTAAACGAGAGAAAGGGGGTGAGTGGGGATGTGTATTACAGCCCCTTTCCCCTTTAGCGACTACTCGTTTCGAGCCTCAACTTTCGAGGGTTCTCTGACCGTATTCATACCCAAATAAAGCATATTAGAGCTGATTTTTCTCTATTCTAGTTATTTGAATTACAGTACAACTGTATAAACATTAAAAATATACCGAAATGTTATAAATGGTGTAAAGGTGATATTAAAAAAATATCAAAGTGGGTTTACACAAACCCTACCATTATGGTAGCTCCTCACTTAGAGAAAAATTTCGTTTAAAGATGTGGTTTTGGAATGGAACTCGTCGTTAAGTAAGGGGGGTGTAAAAAAAAAATCCCACAAAATAAAGTGCACAAAAGAGAAAATACACCCAATTTGGGGGTGTATTTTTTTGGGTTTTTTTGGTTTATTTTTGTTTTTTGGTCTCATTTTATAAAAGGAAGTTTTTAAAATTTTTTGGGATTTTAAGGATGGCAAAGTACATAATCCTGCTTTAGGGTGTTTCACCTTTCGGTTTTAAACGCAATTTCAAATTATGACCAAAATTCATCCCAAAGGGTTTTTAAAAAAAGGCGTCCCCAACCCTTTTGTTTTCTTTCCCAAACCATAACATTAGTTAAAAATTTTCCAAAAATTTTTTTTAAAGTTAGCATTTTTAAGTACCAAAAAAACTTTTTTACCCTTCCCCAAACCCCCTTTCACCTATCTAAAGAAAAAGAAACGGAAGCTGTTGCAAATTTAATGTTAACCCAAAAAAAACCCTAGTTGGGAAATTTTTTGGTAATCCGAAAAAATTATGGGGGAATTTTGGATTATATTTTGGGAAAAAAAACTTCTCGGGCAAAAAAAATCTATGAGTCTTGGAAATTTTTCAACCCAAAGGGGGGCAACAATTAAAAGATATCATAACTTTTGTAAAGGCATTTTTCTAAATTTCAACAAAACCTCCCCAAAAAACTGCATGATTCAATATTTTAGAGGCGAAGTCCCCCCCAAAACGAAATTACCCCAAAAAACCCCCCTTTTTGGGGAAAAACCCAAAACTCATCACCAAGGGGGATCCCAAAAAACCTATAAAAGACACTAATTTTCTTCTTGCAACTTTTTAATTTCAAATGAACCCTTTTTAAAATCCCAAAAGTCTTTAGGAAAAGGGTGTGATTTTGGGTATTTTAACTTTCATTTTCAAAAACCTGAAAAAATTTTAATTTTTAAAAAACAATATAAAATATTTACCCAGGACTCGCAGCAATGGTTTCAAGTTGGAAAAATTCAGATTCAGAAAGGATATAGGAAAGCACCGGTTTGGTAATAGAGTTGTGGATGAGTGGAACAAACCCCTGAGTACCATCATAGAAGTGAAAACGTCGTGTAGTTTTAAAAATAGGTTAGATAAATACATGAGTGGGTGTGAGACAGTGTGAGTTGGACCTGACTAGCTTGTGCTACTAGGTCTGATGCCATGCTCCTTCCTTATGTGGAAGTGACCTGACTAGGTGGGTTATTGATCTAAGCCGGAGGGGTGACACGGATCTGCTTTGCATGGGTCAATAGGCCTGCTGCAGTGTTCCTTCTTTCTTATGTTCTTATTTTACTTTGTATTTTTTCTAATGCCTAGTTCTATTGCTAACTCAATACATGTTAGTGTAAACTTGTTATCTGGCATTTATATGCATTTATAAATGGAAAAAATGGCTTTCTCCTTTCCGGCAGTAGCCTGGAACCTAATCGGACATGTAAGTGGGGCCCTACTGTACCTTGAAATTGAGCTGAAAGTAGTAGAAATGTTCAATTTTTGCTGATGTTCAAGAGTAAACAAATCACGTCACGCATCCAAACACATGAACTGGTGGGTCTAATATGCTTTTACAAATGCTCTGATATCATTTATACCATTTTTACATAATGCAGTAGTCTGCATAACAGTAAATCTTCTATTTTTCGTGTGAATAAAAATTCAAAATGGAAAGCAAGTAAGCAAGAGGGGCCTGGAGACATGACTAATGAAGAGAAAATATTTTAGTGCTAGGAATGTTTGTATTGTTAATTCTGAACCCTATTTTGAAAATGACCTTGAATTGTGTATGAAATTGGCCAAATTACCATTTCTAATCACTTTTTTGGGTAGTTAAAATCAGTAAATGGGCAGTTTCTTGCATTCAATCGATAGAACAAATGTTCTAGCGAATAGCTACGGGTTTGGTCAACTGGAACATTGGAATTGGCCAAAAATAGGGCTCAAAGTGGGCAAAATCACTGATGCATACACATCACTGAGACCGCTAACTTCACGAGAGGGTAATTCCGTAAGTTTTTCATCAAATTTTGCACTTTTGGTGTCATTTCCATCAGGAAAACATTCTCTATCATTTCATAAGAATTTTTTTTTTTTAAAAACTCTTTGACACTGAGAGCAAGTTTGTGAGCAGGAGTCTCAACAGTGAAAGGGTTAATCTTCACATGAACCCAATGCATAGAATACCCTTCTTAACACTTCTTGAAAAAGACTATGGATGCGAAGAGGGTATCTATTTCCCCTTGATAAAAGGTCTTTCTACTTTTCATACAAAATGAACAGATTATTATACTGTGATAGCATAAATGTTGAATCAAATATAGGTACACAAGAGGTATAATAATAAATCCTGCATAACTTATTTCTTAATTTACTTCAAATTGATAGTCCTATTAAGCTAATATATTTCCTTTTTATATTCTTTACTATCAATGCTGGTCTATTACAACCAAGATACTGTATGCCAGTTATACCTTGTCTCATTAAAATACTGTACTACTGCAATTACAGTGGACCCCCAGTTAACGATATTTTTTCATTCCAGAAGTATGTTCAGGTGCCAGTACTGACCGAATTTGTTCCCATAAGGAATATTGTGAAGTAGATTACTCCATTTCAGACCCCCAAACATACACGCACAAACGCACTTACATAAATACACTTACATAATTGGTCGCATTGGGAGGCGATCGTTAAGCGGGAGTCCACTGTACTCCACTGTACTTTATTATGACAGATCAGATAAGTTTGCCTAAATGCACAGCTTTCTTGTTGACTGTACTAGCTAATAACAGGTTACCACAAATAACAAAAAATATGGAAAAGAACTAAAAGCAAATGATACTTTAGCATTTTTTTTTTTTTAACAAGTCGGCCGTCTCCCACCGAGGCAGGGTGACCCAAAAAAGAAAGAAAATCCCCAAAAAGAAAATACTTTCATCATCATTCAACACTTTCACCTCACTCACACATAATCACTGTTTTTGCAGAGGTGCTCAGAACACAACAGCTTAGAAGCATATACCTATAAAGATACACAACATATCCTTCCAAACTGCCAATATCTCAAACTCCTCCTTTAAAGTGCAGGCATTGTAATATAATCATAGCAGACCCTATATCTGGTATGATTACATAAAGGGAGGGCAATGGATGCCAATTTGGGAGGCAAACTTTCATGTCCTTTTTTTTTTTTAATACACCAGCTGTCTTCCACTGAGGTAGAGTGACGTGATGCAAGAAAAGGAAACACGCTCATTGTCATTCATTCAGTCACTGTCATATCCTATCAAAAGTTTTGCTAATGATGAAAAATTTGACCAAACTTAAGTACTACTAAAAAAAAGAAAGAGGTAAACGGTTACCAGATGAATAATCCTAAATGAATCTGTACTATTGATAATAAAAAAGGCTATAATAATCAATATGTTTAAGACATCTGAGCGAGAGAAACATTGCAACACAATGGTTTGATGGATTCAAATGGTTACCTTTCTTCAGGATAGGCTGAATCAGTGAGTCTTCCCAGAGGGACATTTTAGAGCATATTTAATGGCAACATAAATCAGACTATACAGGTAGTACCTGTGGTGCATTTCTATGGTACATAAGGAGCCATACCATTTGAACCCCTTGTATTCTTGTTCCTAAATATGAAAGGCTTTGTGGACCATCTTAACTATTAATTCTTTGTTTTATCTTTACCTTGCCTGCCATACCAGCATTGTGTCTTTAGCCTCTTTCCAGCAGTTTATGTCATCTGAGAAAATGGCTTTATATACATCCATCCATTCTTGTCTGAAATATATTTTAACAAAATGAATTTATAAGATTGGCTACATCATAATTTAGTTAAGTAAAACAACACATGTGTAAAAATTAGGCATCTTTACTCAGCCATGTAAATATTGTAACACAAGAAATTAGAGTGGAACCTCTACTTGCGTGCGTGTCCACGTGTGAGTTTTTCCAAATATGAGCAGTCGATGGGTCGATTTTTTGCTTCCATACGCGAGCAAAATTTCCACAACTGAGCAGACCTCAAGGCAGGTTCCTTGACACTGGTGAGGGGCTCTTGCTCTTGATCTCGGGAATTGTATCTCATTTGTTTGTTGGACTATCTTATTGAAACTTGGGCAATGTATGATGGAAAGATGCTTCTTAATGTACACCAAAAATGAAAGAAATCTATGCATAAATAATGGAGTTCACTTCTCAGCAATTAGCCACCCCTTAGTGGTAATTTCGAATGGTTTTTATGGTTGTATTTTCGTTTTTTTTGGTCTCATTTGATAGAATGGAAGATAAATTACAGAAATATATATGATTTTGATTGCTTTCATGACGAAAAGTACCTTGAAATAGAGCTCAACCTAGGATAAATGGTCCATTGCTTGGCTGTTTCAGTGCAAACAAATGACGTCACAGTAAATCTTACATTTTTTGTGTGAATAAAAATTACAAATTATTTATATAATAATAATGATAATGATAATAATAATAATAATAATAATACAGGTCTCCCTCAACATTCACGTTTTCAACTTTCATGGGCTTCACACATTCGCAAATTCCCAACCGTCAAATTCCCAGCCGCCAAGTCATATTTAAGTTTCCCGCCACCTGCGAGTCCCTACTACCCTCCCTCCGACCCCCGCAACTGGCAGCCAGCCCTCCCACCACTCAGTGTGGTGAGTGTTTTGTTTGTTCATTATTTGCTATTAAACTACAGTATAAATAATGTAAACCCATTCATGACTGCATATTGGAATGGCTATTCAGACAGGTATTAGACGGTGACATCATGTGTTTACTCTTGAACACTGCAAAGAATTAAACGTTTCTGCTACAACTAATAATAACAATAGTAATAATAATAATAATAATAATAATAATAATAATAATAATAATAATAATAAATATGATATAATTGAAGAAGGAAATTGTACAAAAATACGAGGGAGTGGTTGACACATCGTCAGTGTGACTTTGTTTATGCTAGAGTGAACATTAGTCTCCCTGCTCTTCCAAACATTCACAATAATTCATTGTGTTTGGTGCTTGTAGATTGAGTGTGACTGGAGTGGTAAAGGCAGTGATTGAGGCAATGGTATTTAATAACATACATGTTAATAATAATACAAGTTATTAACCCTTTCAGGGTCCGTCCCGTAGATCTACGGCTTTACGTTCAGGGTCCAAACCGTAGATCTACGTCATGAGCTCAGTTCACTCTGATAAACTGTGAGTGGTACATTTGGGCCTAGATATGAGAGAATACATCTATGTGGTATGTGTGCACCACATAAAACAGATCCTGCAGCACACTGTGTATAGTAAGATAAAAAAAAAAACTGAAATCATGATTTTTCGATTAAAACAGCGACTTTGCAGTGTTTTTTTATGTTTTTTATAGTTGTATTTGTGATTTCTTGGTCTCATTTGATAGAATGGAAGACATATAACAGAAATTGAGATGATTTTGATTGGTTTTAGCACTGGAAATGGCTTGAAACTGAGCTCAAAGTAGCAGAAATGTTAAATTTTTGCCGATATTCAAGAGTAAACAAACGACCTCACACGTCTAATACACGCCAGCTGGTGGGTCTAATATACATTCACAAATATGGTGATGATATTTATACAATTATTACAGTATTGCATATCAGTAAATCTTCTATTTTTTGGTGTGAATAAAAATTCATTAAGTGAACAAAAAATCCAAATGGAATTTATTTGTAAAGCCTCAAAACATAACTAATGAACAGAGGAAAATGTTAGTTTAGTTCCAGGAATACCTACATTGTTTATTCTGGACCCTATTTTGAAATTGGAATATTTTGAACTTTGTGTTAAATTGGCCAAATTAACAATTTCCGATCACTTTAATTTGTAGTTGAAACAGTTGACTTGGCAATTTCTTGTGCTCAGTCGATAGAATAGAAGTAATACTAGTGAAATTGCTACGAATTTGGTCGACTGGAATAATGTAATTGGCCTAAAATGGGAGTCAAAGTCGTCAAAATCGCCGATTCGTAAATATCGCTGACACATCAAAATTCGCGAGAGCATAATTTCATCAATTTTCCATCAAATTTCGTACTTTTTGTTTTATTACCTTCACAAAAAGATTCTCTACCATTTCATAAGAAAAAATAACAAATTTTTTTTTTTTAAAATTCTTGGATACTGGGGCACCACTTCAGATTTGGGCCTTGGACCCTGAAGGGGTTAATAATATGTACTATTATTATTTATAACATATATGTTATTAAATACATACATGTTAATAATAATACATGTTATTAATAATAACATGTACTATTATTATTTATTTATTTATTATTTTTTTTTATTATCACACCGGCCGATTCCCACCAAGGCAGGGTGGCCCGAAAAAGAAAAAACTTTCACCACATTCACCTCCATCACTGTCTTTGCCAGAAGGGTGCTTTACACTACAGTTTTTAAACTGCAACATTAACACCCCCTTCAAGTGCAGGCACTGTAACTTCCCATCTCCAGGACTCAAGTCCGGCCTGCGGTTTCCCTGAATCCCTTCATAAATGTTACTTTGCTCACACTCCAACAGCACGTCAAGTATTAAAAACCATTTGTCTCCATTCACTCCTATCAAACACGCTCACGCATGCCTGCTGGAATTTCCAAGCCCTCGCACACAAAACCCCCTTTACCCCCTCCCTCCAACCCTTCCTAGGCGACCCCTACCCCGCCTTCCTTCCACTACAGACTGATACACTCTTGAAGTCATTCTGTTTCGCTCCATTCCTCTACATGTCCGAACCACCTCAAAAAACCCTTCCTCAGCCCTCTGGACAACAGTTTTGGTAATCCCGCACCTCCTCCTAACTTCCAAACTACGAATTCTCTGCATTATATTCACACCACACATTGCCCTCAGACATGACATCTCCACTGCCTCCAGCCTTCTCCTCGCTGCAACATTCATCACCCACGCTTCACACCCATATAAGAGCGTTGGTAAAACTATACTCTCATACATTCCCCTCTTTGCCTCCAAGGACAAAGTTTTTTGGGTTCCACAGATCCTAAGTGCACCACTCACTCTTTTTCCCTCATCAATTCTATGATTCACCCATCTTTCATAGACCATCCGCTGACACGTCCACTCCAAAATCTGAATACATTCACCTCCTCCATACTCTCTCCCTCCAATCGATATTCAATCTTTCATCACCTAATCTTTTTGTTATCCTCATAACCTTACTCTTTCCTGTATTCACCTTTAATTTTTTTTCTTTTGCACACCCTACCAAATTCATCCACCAATTTTCTGCAACTTATTTATATTTTTTATTAAATACCACTGCCTTTTAAAATGCGGAATTATTGTGAAATGTTTGGAAGAGCAGGGAGACTAATGTTCACTCCAGCATAAACAAAATCACACTGACGATGTGTCAACCACTCCTTCGTATTTTTTTTACAATTTCCTTCTTCAATTATATCGTATTTATTATTATTATTATTATTATTATTACTATTGTTATTATTAGCCATAGCAGAAATGTTCAATTCTTTGCTGTGTTCAAGAGTAAACACATGATGTCACCGTCTAATACCTTTCCTAATAGCCATTCCAATATGCAGTCATGAATGGGTTTACATTATTTATTCTGTAGTTTAATAGCAAATAATGAACAAACAAAACACTCACCACACTGAGTGGTGGGAGGGCTGGCTGCCAGTTGCAGGGGTCGGAGGGAGGGTAGTAGGGACTTGCAGTGGTGGAGTCTGTGGTATTTAATAACATACATGTTATTAACATACATGATATTAAATAACATACAGTGGACCCCCGGTTAACGAACTTTTTTCATTCCAGTAGTATGTTCAGGTGCCAGTACTGACCGAATTTTTTCCCATAAGGAATATTGTGAAGTAGATTAGTCCATTTCAGACCCCCAAACATACACGTACAAACGCACTTACATAAATACACTTACATAATTGGTCGTATTTGGAGGTGATCGTTAAGCGGGGGTTCACTGTACGTTATTAAAGCATAACATGTATATATTTAGTATAATTTACGATGTTTTCATGTATTTTATGATTATTCATGGTTCAACAAGTTAAGGAAGCAGTATTGTAATATATTTCCCTACAATATATTGAGGCACCAAACATTCACGGTTTTTCAACATTCGCGAGGATCTTGATCCCCTAACCCTCGCGAATGTTGAGGGAGAACTGTAATAATAATAATAATAATAATAATAATAATAATAATAATAATAATAATAATGATGAAAAAAATCTAAGCATAAATAATGGAGCTCACTTCTCAGCAATTAGCCACCCCTTAGTGGTAGTTTTCGTATGGTTTTTATGGTTGTATTCTCATTTTTTTGGTCTCATTTGATAGAATGGAAGATATATTACAGAAATAGATATGATTTTTGATTGGTTTCATGACGAAAAGTGCCTTGAAACTGAGCTCAACCTAGGAGAAATGGTCCACTGCTTGGCTGTTTCAGTGTAAACAAATGATGTCACTGTTCATTCCAATATGCAGTCGTGAATGGGTTGACATATTTAAACAATTATTGCAATAAGGAATACCAGTAAATCTTATATTTTTTGTGTGAATAAAAATTACAAATAATTTATATAACAATAATAATGATAATAATAATAATAATAATAATAATAATAATAATAATAATAATATGAATAATAACAATACGTATAATAATAATAATAGTATAATACAATAATAATAATAGTATAATACAATAATAATAATAATAATTATAATATAATATGTATAATAATAATACATATAATAATGTACAACATATAATAATTATAATAATAGACGGCTTCAAAAGGCTGTCACTAGATGGCAGTGTTTACCACAACAAAGAGGGAGCGGTTGTGGCCGCCTCCACCTGTTACATAATGACATATTTTATTCATTCTAGAGTATATATTGTGTTTCTATGTTATTTATATTGTCTGTTATGTCATATTAGATGAACTGTGATATATAAATAAGCCATATAGATGATATCAGCGAAATTATTCAAGAAGAATTTTGCCCAGTCTCCAGACAAACTCTCGTCCACCGCCGACACCGCCCATACCACTACATGAATGACATATTTTATTCATTCTAGAGTATAAATCATGTTTCTATGTTATTCATATTGTTTATTATGTCATACTAGATGAACTGTGATAGATAGATAAATAAGCCGTATAGATGAAATTAGCGAAATTATTCATGAAGTATTTTGCCCGGTGTCCAAACAAACTCTCGTCCACCGCCGACACCGCCCATACCACTACATGAATAACATATTTTATTCATTTTAGAGTATATATCAGGTTTCTATGTTATTTATGTTGTTCATATTAGATGAAGTGAGATAGATAAATAAGCCATAGAATTGATATTAGCGAAATTATTGAAGTACAGAATTCCACTGGAACGGATTAATTGCATTTCAATCAATTTAAATGAGGAAAATTGACTCTGCAAACGAGCAAATCCAGTTGCGAGCAAGGTCATGGAACAGATTAAAC